CCTATACAAAGAAAACTATAAAACACTGTTAAAAGAAATAGAAGAAGACACAAAAAATGGAAAGACATCCCCTGCTCATGGATTGGAAGAATAAACATTATTAAAATGGCCATCCTACCAAAAGCAATATACAGATTCAATGCTATTCCAATCAAAATCTCAATGGCATTCTTCAAAGAAATAGAACAATTATTGATGAAATTCATATGGAATCACCAAAAACCCCGAATAGCCAAAGCTCTACTGAAAAAAAAAGAAGGAAATGGAGGCATCAAACTCCCAGACTTCAAACTCTACTACAAAGCCATAATCATCAAAACTGCATGGTATTGGAACAAGAACAGACATACAGACCAATGGAATCGAATAGAAAATCCAGAAATAAACCGACAGATTTATGGTCAACTAATCTTTGACAAAGGAGCAAAGACTATGCATTGGAGCAAAGAAAGTTTGTTCAATAAATGGTGCTGGGAAAACTGGGTCGCTACATGCAAAAGAATGAAGCTTGACCACTACCTCACACCATACACAAAAATCAACTCAAAATGGATTAAAGAACTAGACATAAGACCTGAAACCATAAAATACATAGAAGGAAATATAGGCGAAACACTACGGGATTTGCACATCAAAGACATCTTTACAGACACATCACCCAAAGCAGTGATAGTGAAGACAAAGATAAACAGCTGGGACTACATCAAATTAAAGAGCTTCTGCACAGCAAAAGAGACAATAACAAAAACAAAGAGAAACCCCACCAACTGGGAGAACATTTTTGCACCCAACACTAATGATAAAGGACTGATCACAAAAATCTGCAAAGAGCTGATGAGACTCAGCAACAGCAAAGAAAATAATCCAGTCAAAATGGGCAGAAGAGCTAAAAAAGAACTTCTCCAAAAAGGAAATGCAAATGGCCAACAGGCATATGAAAAATGTTCAACATCACTTGTAATCAGGGAAATGCAAATCAAAACTACCATGAGATACCATCTCACACCAGTGAGAATGGCACATATTAAAAAAACTAGCAACAACAAATGTTGGCGAGGGTGTGGAGAAAAAGGAACTCTTCTGCACTGTTGGTGGGAGTGCAAACTGGTCCAACCACTATGGAGAGCTGTGTGGAGATTTCTGGACCTACTAAACATAGAGCTTCCATATGATCCAGCAATTCCACTCCTAGGTATTTACCCAAAGGACACAGAAACATCAATTCCAAAGAGCACCTGCACCCCTATGTTTATAGCAGCACTGTTTACAATAGCAAGCTTTGGAAACAACCCAAATGCCCAAAAGTAGATGACTGGATCAAGAAGATATGGTACATATATACCATGGAATATTACTCAGCATTCAAAAAAGATAAACACATGCAATTTGCAGCAACATGGATGGCACTGGAAGGGATCATGCTCAGCGAAATAAGCCAAAAAGAAAAAGAAAAATACCGGATGGTCTCACTCATAGCAGGAATCTAGAAAACTTAAATAAGGGACCAGGAAAATGAATATAAGAAAGTGAAAATCAAAATCAACAAAAAACTATGAACCAGAGACACTTTTTGGGGGTTGGGGCGGGAGGGGAAGGATTGGGTCAGAATGGGGCGTTTGCAATTGTATGGGGGAATATAAAATAAAAAGATTAAAAAAAAAAAACCAAAAAATAAATAAATTAATTAATTAATTAATTAATTAAAAAATAAATAAATAAATGCATTGGTACAATGGATACAATGTATATAAATAACATAATAACATAAACAACAATAACATAAAAAAAAAGATATTTGATAGTCAAGAGTTAACTGTGTTCTTGGAGCGATACTTAGGATTCATGATTTTTATTAGAATTTTAAGATATTTGGGCCTCCATGGTGACACAAGGCATAAGTGTCAGCAATACGAAGGTGTCAGCAGCCACTGCAGCATGAGTTCAATCCCCAGCCAGGGAGGTGACCCACATGGCACAGCAGACCTGTCTTCCCCACTGCTCCCCTCAGCAGTGTATTTCAATCAGTCTGCCTGTTCTGCTCCCCACTCTGTCTCTAGTGAATCCTCTGACCCTCTGCACCTCTGGCCTGCACCCCAGTTCTTGTATGCATAAATGAATAAAATAAATCTTTTTAAAGATATTTGTTCTTATCAGCTATAGTTTGAGAAATCTTTAAAATATGATGTCAACAAAGTGCAACACCCATTCATGATAAAAGCCCTTGAAATTCTTGGGATACAAGGACAATACCTCAACATCATAAAGGCCATCTATGACAAGCCAACAGCCAGTATCATTCTCAATGGTGAAAAGCTGAAAGCAATTCCATTAAATCTGGAACAAGACAAGGATGTCCATCTCACCACTTTTTCAATATATACTGGAAGTCCTAGCCAGAGCAATAAAGACAAGAGAGACATCCAAGGAATCCAAATAGGAAAAGGTCGTCAAACTATCACAATTTGCAGATGATATGATAATATACATAGAGAACCCCAAAAAGTCCACAGAAAACTAATTCAACTCATCAATCAGTTCAGTAAAGTGGCAGGATATACAAATCAACGCAAAAGTCAGTAGCCTTCCTATACACAAACAATAAAATCTGAAGAAGAAGAAATCAAAAAACCATCCCTTTTTTTATTGAAACAAAAAAATCAAATATTTGGGAATAATCTAACAAAAGAGGTAAAAGGACCTATACAAAGAAAACTATAAAACACTGTTAAAAGAAATAGAAGAAGACACAAAGAAATGGAAACATCTCCCTGCTCCATGGATTGGGAAGAATAAACATTATTAAAATGGCCATCCTTCCAAAAGCAATATACAAGATTCAATGCTATTCCAATCAAAATTTCAATGTCATTCTTCAAAGAAATAGAACAATTATTGATGAAATTCATATGGAATCACAAAAAAACCCGAATAGCCAAAGCTCCCTGAAAAAAAAAAGAAGGGAAATGGAGGCATTCACACTCCCAGACTTCAAACTCTACTACAAAGCCATAATCATCAAAACTGCATGGTATTGGACAAGAACAGACATACAGACCAATGGAATCGAATAGAAAATCCAGAAATAAACCGACAGATTTATGGTCAACTAATCTTTGACAAAGGAGCAAAGACTATGCATTGGAGCAAAGAAAGTTTGTTCAATAAATGGTGCTGGGAAAACTGGGTCGCTACACAAAAGAATGAAGCTTGACCACTACTCACACCATACACAAAAATCAACTCAAAATGGATTAAAGAACTAGACATAAGACCTGAAACCATAAAATATAGAAGGAATATAGGCGAAACACTACGTGATTTGCACATCAAAGACATCTTTACAGACACATCACCCAAAGCAGCGATAGTGAAGGGGAAGATAAACAGCTGGGACTACATCAAATTAAAGAGCTTCTGCACAGCAAAGGACAATAACAAAAACAAAGAAAACCCCACCAACTGGGAGAACATTTTTGCACCAACACTAATGATAAGGACTGATCACAAAAATCTGCAAAGAGCTGATGAGACTTAACAACAACAAAAGAAAAGAATCCAGTCAAAAAATGGGCAGAAGAGCTAAAAAGAAACTTCTCTGAAGAGGAAATGCAAATGGCCAACAGGCATATGAAAAAATGTTCAACATCACTTGTCATCAGGGAAATGCAAATCAAAACTACCATGAGATACCATCTTACACCAGTGAGAATAGCACATATTAAAAAAACTAGCAACAACAAATGTTGGCGAGGTGTGGAGAAAAGGAACTCTTCTGCACTGTTGGTGGGAGTGCAAACTGGTCCAACCACTGTGGAGAGCTGTGTGGAGATTTCTTGACCTACTAAATAGAGCTTCCATATGATCCAGCAATTCCACTCCTAGGTATTTACCCAAAGGACACAGAAACATCAATTCCAAAGAGCACCTGCACCCCTATGTTTATAGCAGCACTGTTTACAATAGCTAAGCTTTGGAAACAACCCAAATGCCCAAAAATAGATGACTGGATCAAGAAGATGTGGTACATATATTACATGGAATATTACTCAGCATTCAAAAAAGATAAACACATGCAATTTGCAGCAACAGGATGCACTGGAAGGGATCATGCTCAGCGAAATAAGCCAAAAAGAAAAAGAAAAATACCGGATGGTCTCACTCATAGCAGGAATCTAGAAAACTTAAATAAGGGACCAGGAAAACAAGTAACTATAAGAAAGTGAAAATCAAAATCAACAAAAAACTACAAACCAGAGACACTTTTAGGGGGGCGGGGGTGGGAGGGGAGGGATTGGGTCAGAATGAGGGGGTGCAATTGTATGGGGAATATAAAAATAAAATTTATTATTAAAAAAAAAAAAAACCTTAAAAAAAAAATTAAAAAAAAAAAAAAAAACCTTGAGTCTAGGCTGCCCCATTGTCATCCAGTTAAAGACTACATTTCCCAGATGTCCTTGCAGCTAAAAAAAAAAAAAAAATATGATGTCAAATACAGTCATTAGCAACAAGAGGCAGATAAATTGCTACCATTGTAGCTATTCCTAAAAAATGAAAGCATTACTAAATTTTAGGTCAATGTACTAAATGTGCCATTGGGATTTTCAGTAGTCAAGATTTTATGATATTATACTGTCTTACCCATATGTACATATGTAAATTTTTCTATGGATAATAACCAAATAATTTGGGGTTCTTAGTTTTTAAATAACAACTAAAGAAAAAAGATAAATCGGCATGCACAAATGAAAAGAGAGTTCAGATAAGCAAACTAGAAGCAAGGGCTTATATTTAAATGCACTCTCATAATTATTGATAATGATTGGTGTTGCCATTCTGAACATAACTAAGGCATACTTTGGCATACTTTGCAGGACCCAAACTAAAGAATAGGATATTTAAATAGCATACTTTGGAGGTAATACATGATATAGCTTATCTTTATACTTAATAGAAACTTGACTATGTAACTAATAAATTGATGCCTTTTGTTTATTTCAAAGGAAGTCATGAATAAACCAGGCCATGTTAGACTGTTTGTGACAAGAATCATGCAAGAATTTGAAAGTGACACATTTTTTCCAGAAATTGATTTGAAGAAATATAAACTTCTCCCAGAGTAAGTAAAATTTATTTATTAATCTGGAACACTCTTTGATTCCTTACTTAAGATTATAGAAAAGGGCCTCCCCTGGTGGCGCAGCAGTTGAGCGCTGGGCTGTGAGGCTGCCCGCAGCCTCTGCAGTGCCGGTTCGTTCCCCAGCCGCTGGTGAGGGTCCCACCAAAAAAAAAAAAAAAAAAAAAGATTATAGAAAAGAGTATGTCTCTTTGGATTTGGGGCAATAACAGACTTGGGAATATACAGGTTTTAATGATTTTACTGAAATTCAGAGAGTAGTCATCAGTTCATTGTATGCAGTTTTTGTTTAGCATCAGATACTGCCCTAAGCATTAAAGAAATCATGTTTACCAAGACATTTGTCACAGGTCACCAGGAGATTACATTTTTTGTAGTAGAAGAGGAGAGTGGAGAGGGCCTCCCTGGTGGCGTAAGGGGTTAAGACGCAACCTATGAAGCTATCCACAGCCACTGTAGCATGAGTTCGATCCCTGGCCAGGGAGCTACCCACATGGCACAGCAGACCTCTCATGACTTGCCCACTGCTCCCCTCAGCAGTGTATTTCAGTAGATCCATCTGTTCTGTTCCCCACTCTGTCTCTGGTGAATCTTCTCACCATACCCCCTGCACCTCTGGCCTGTACCCCAGTTCTTGTATGCATAAATAAATCTTTAAAAAAAAAAGAGAGGAGAGTGGAGAATGATTGATAAACATCAAAAGAAATGATGTGTGGAGAATTGAAGGACTGTGACATGGTAGATACTGTATACTCTGAGAATTTCTCTCTGAAGAGTAATGTCTACACTGAGATCTAAATGGGAAGAAGCCAATCTCCTCCCCTTAAGAAACATTAGTCCTTTTCTCTATATATAGCTATTTCTATTCTGGACATTTCATGTAAGCAGAATCATATAATGTGTAGTTTTTCTTGGAATTGTCTTCTTTGACGTAGCATACAATTTTTTAGTTTGTCCATATTGCAATATATATCAGTTTTTGCGTCACAAATTTTCTCCCATTATCTGAATTGCCTTTCATTTTCTTAACATTATTTGCAACAAAAAGGTTTTTAATTTTAGTATTATCGAGTTTTCCTATTTTTTCTTTTGACACTTGTCCTTTTGGTGTTATATCTAAGAAACTATTGCCTGCTCAGAGCTCATGGAGTTATTCCTGTTCTTCAGAAAGTTTTTGTGAAGTACAAGTGCTCCAACTTTGGTGTTCTTTTTCAAGATGGTTTGGCTGTTCTGGGCTCCTTACATTTCTATATTTTATGATTAGCTTGTTAATTTCTGCCAAAAATCAAGTTAAGATTCTGACAGGGATTATATTGTCTCTGTAAATTACTTTGGTATTGCCATCTTTGCAATATTAGTCTTCTAAACCATGAACATGTGATGTCTTTCTTCTTACTTTGGTCTTTTAATTTCTTTCAACAGTGTTGTGTAGCTTTCACTATATGAGTCTTGTACTTCATTGTGAAATTTCTCCATAAGTAATTTTGCTGTTAATATAAATGAAGCTCTTATTTATGTAGTCTTCTGTTCAGACTGTTTATTGATAATACATATAAAAGTAATTGATTTTGGCTTATTGATCTTGTATCTGAGATCTTACTGAACTCATTTGCTAGTTCTAATTATGGATTCCTTACGATTTTCCATATACAGGACATATCATTTGCAAGTAGAGGTAGTTTTACTTCTTCCTTTCTAATCTGAATATTTATTTATTTTTCTTGCCTAATTGCCTTGGTCAGAATCATCAATACAGTGCTGAATAGAAGTAACAAGAACAGACATCCTTTTCCTGTTTCTGGCCTTAGAAGTAAAGTATTCAATATTTAACCATTAAGCAAGATGTTAACTGGGGGATTTTCATACATGCCCTTCATCATATTGAGGAAGAGCTCTTCTATTTCTAGTTCACTGCGTTTTTATCGTGAAGTGGTATTAGATTTTATCTAATGCTCTTACGGAGTATTGAGATGATGGTGCAGTTGTTACCTTTAAAAAGATAAAATACACTAATACTTAATATACGATTAATATGCTATATATTACATCCATTTTTATGTTAAACTAACTTTGCTTTTCTGTGATAAATCCACTTGGTAATAATGTAGAATCCTTTTTATATGTTTGGATCCCATTTGCTACTATTTAGTTGAGGATTTTTGTATTTATATTCAAAATGGATATTGGTCTGTAGTTTTCTTTTTTTGTAATGTCTTCACCTTGTTTTGGTATCAGGATAATACCAGTCTTACAGAATGAGTTGAGAAATTGTCCCTCCTCTTATTGTCTGAAAGAATTTGTGAAGGATTGGTAGTAATTCTTCTTTAAATGTCTTAGAAAATTGTAGTGACTATATTGGAATAGGAAATTGCTATCCAAAGCCAAAATCCAAGAATATTACTCCAAAATGGACATTCTGAACAACAATATAGAAGAAAATGATGAAAGGTCCTTTTTTTCATTGTAGCATTTGATCAAATCTGTACCAATATAACAGTCTCTTTAAAATGTCATGGGGGAAATCCTCTTAGGGGAGGATTAAGAATAGGTCAGTTTTTCATGAATAGGTTTTCATGGGGAAAAAGGAAACCTCTGAAAGCAGAATATATTTTGTCTCTAGAAATCTGTAAAATGGCCCAATTATTAAAACCTCTGTGTATTGCTCCCTACTGTCCAGAAATGAACTCTGATCATTCTTTATTCTCCTTTATTTCCCACAGCTACCACTTAGTTTACACCCCCATTTTCCCTATCAGTGGACCTCTGTGGGTTATATAGATTTCAATTCAAAAATAATATCATTTATTAATACCACATTTCCTGGTCATAAGAGCACTAGTGTAATGAAATAAAGTTGAAGAGAACTATAGTGAAGCAAGAGAATAAAATTAGAATGTAGATGAAGCCACCAATAATGTTAACCTAAAAGCAAAAGATAATATTAACAAAGTAAGATGATGTCTGCTTTTTTGCACCATGAGTCCTGTCAATACTGTTATTCTTCTGACGGCACCATGCCAGACAGCCTGTCCTCTGAGATACTGCTTTCATTCATCTTGGCTTGAAGATATCTTTATCTCAGACCTTTTCATACTAACCTTCAACTAAACTAAATCTTCAACTAAACCGTTTTACACCAGCAGTTTTCTACTTAATGAGCCCCAAATAGACTTCTCCTTCTAGTTAACAACCTTCCATATGTGACCATGCAGTCAAAAATGAGAAAGACCAGAAGAAACCTTTGAGATAGTAGTTGGCTCCAGAGCTGGGACTGATGCCCCTTACCAGGGGACAACTTGAAGCAGATTTGCAGGTTTTAAATGGACTGACATTTCCTCTTCTGTTCCCATTACTTCCAGATGTCCAACAGGATCCTAGCATATTTGTCCACCTGTACATCCCCCTATTCCTGAGTCTGTGGCTTCTGTAGAGTATTTTATTTCACTTGTGATTTCCTTCTTATATATAATATTTCAAGAACTCTGTTTGCCTCTTCCTTAGACCTTCCATCAAATTATCTCTGTATTATTTTCATGATCCTTTGTCTCTTCAAATCTTATGTTTATTTATATTCATTGGCTTCCTTAATGCTTGAAGATTCTAAAAGGGAGTTTGTCCCTGGGTGGTTGATAACAAATGGAGGGTATTTCTAAATCCTGTTAGATTTAACCTCAGAGTTCAAATATGACTGTTAGAGAGTTTACTCTTTAGTAAAGTTTAGGATTATGGTTATGAGGCAGTTATAATCATCCTTAAAACGACTGCATATGTATGTGAGTATTAGAGAATGAAGCTTTTTTTAAAGATATTTTTTATAATTAAATTTTGAGAAATTTCCATTTTAGTTTCACAGAAAAGATAGGCATTAATACGTTGGCTTACTGAGCATATATAATAGCTTATTTCTAAGTTATTATTCATGGTTTTAGAAGTAACTGCTTTATACTTTGCTTTTATCTTCCTAACCAACAATCTTGATACTCTTGAGAATTTTACACACACACACATACACACACTCAAATTGTTGCTTTTGGTAACCTATTCCCAAGAAACTACAATAATGGTTTTAAGGCTTAGTAAAATTATTTCTTCAAAGAAAAAAGTTATACTGCTACTAAAACAGTGAACAGAAAGAGCTTAGTAAATGAGTAGTAAATAGAAGCCTAGCTTCTTCCTCTGATATATAAATTATTCAAGAGAAAAAACACCTTTCTCTTTTTCTTAAACATTATGTTATTGTTATTTTGGGTTTCTAATTATATTTTTATCAGAATAGCTGATCTCTAATTCATAAAGAGTTAATACCTATTATTAGTCAATATTGTGTTAGATATCATAAGATTTTTAAATTTTTTCCTGATTAATCCTGTCCACAGTGAGTTAAGAAAATAGTTGAAACAAAACAGACTAACAATATTAATGGGTAACATTTGTAGAGCGCTGAGTGTAACGGGCACAATGCTGAATTCTTTATAAGGATAAAGATTGTTTATTGCTAATCAGGTTTCACACAGCAGAACCAGAGCCCAACACAAGTCTGATTAAAGAAGGTGTTCTTTTCACCCACACTGAGGTGGTGTGGAAGTGCACCAAGATTTGGTGTGGTCAGAACAGCCTTCAGCAGAGAATCTGGGTTTTGGTTTCTTGTTGTTAAAAAGCACCACACAACATACGATCTTTTCTTAATAAAATTTCAGTATACAATACAGGATTCTTAATTCTAGGCACAGTATTGCACAGCAGAGCTCTAAAACTTAGACATCTTGCCTAACCATAACTATACCCTCTGAACAGCACTTCCCTGCTTCCTCCTCCCTCAAACTCCTGTCCGTGCCTGTCTACTCTGATTCTTTTACTCTGAGAATTTTAGAGATCTCACATAAGTAGGGTTATGCAGAATTTATTCTATGACTAACTTATTTATGTCTACCAATTTTATTCATATTATTATGACAGAATTTCCTTTTTATTACTGAGTAATATCCCATTGTATGTATAAGTCGCCTTTTTTTAATCCATTCATCTGTTCATGGATATTGACTATTATGAATAATGCTGCATTGAACATAGGAATGCATCTATCTCTTTAAGGTTCTGACCACAGTTTAAAAAAAAAAGAAAGAAATAACAAGTGTTGGTAGGACTGTAAAGAAATTGAAATTCTTATAAACTGTTGGCGGAAATGTAAAATGGTATAGCCAATATGGAAAACAGTGTGATGGTTCCTCAAGAACAAAAATAGAATTATCACATGACCCAGCAATCCTCCTTCTTGATATATGCCCAAAGGTGACCTAGGTTTTGAAGCTGGAATGTACATGTGCTTCAGTAAGCATTTAGAGAATAGAAAAGATCAGATAAAACAGTGATTCTTGTAAAGGAATATAGTAACCCACACACTGGGGGATGGGAGCAGCAACAGCCCACTGATTAAATAGTAATCAAGAATCACCACACCAGGCACATAACTAATTCTGGTCTAACCAACCAAAAGTTGTACTTCCTTTTTCTTTTGCTCACCTAAGAAAACCAATACCAAGTGTAAGATTGTGCAAAAAGTCTTAAGAAAGTTCATTTGACCTGGATTATAGAGTAGAAAGACAAAAGAAAACTAACAGTGGTTAGTTTTGGGAAGAAGAATCCAGAGTCAGAAGGAGCTGAGGAAGAATTACACTTTTCATTGTCTTTTTTTTTTTTAAAGATTTATTTATTCAAGAAAATCCAGAAATAAACCCACAGATTTATGGTCAACTAATCTTTGACAAAGGAGCAAAGACTATGCATTGGAGCAAAGAAAGTTTGTTCAATAAATGGTGCTGGGAAAACTGGGTTGCTACATGCAAAAGAATGAAGCTTGACCACTACCTCACACCATACACAAAAATCAACTCAAAATGGATTAAAGAACTAGACATAAGACCTGAAACCATAAAATACATAGAAGGAAATATAGGCGAAACACTACGTGATTTGCACATCAAAGACATCTTTACAGACACATCACCCAAAGTAGTGATAGTGAAGGCAAAGATAAACAGCTGGGACTACATCAAATTAAAGAGCTTCTGCACAGCAAAAGAGACAATAACAAAAACAAAGAGAAACCCCACCAACTGGGAGAACATTTTTGCACCCAACACTAATGATAAAGGACTGTTCACAAAAATCTGCAAAGAGCTGATGAGACTCAATAACAACAAAGAAAATAATCCAGTCAAAAAATGGGCAGAAGGGCTAAAAAGAAACTTCTCTGAAGAGGAAATGCAAATGGTCAACAGGCATATGAAAAAATGTTCAACATCACTTGTCATCAGGGAAATGCAAATCAAAACTACCATGAGATACCATCTTACACCAGTGAGAATGGCACATATTAAAAAAACTAGCAACAACAAATGTTGGCGAGGGTGTGGAGAAAAAGGAACTCTTCTGCACTGTTGGTGGGAGTGCAAACTGGTCCAACCACTATGGAGAGCTGTGTGGAGATTTCTGGACCTACTAAACATAGAGCTTCCATATGATCCAGCAATTCCACTCCTAGGTATTTACCCAAAGGACACAGAAACATCAATTCCAAAGAACACCTGCACCCCTATGTTTATAGCAGCACTGTTTACAATAGCTAAGCTTTGGAAACAACCCAAATGCCCAAAAATAGATGACTGGATCAAGAAGATGTGGTACATATATACCATGGAATATTACTCAGCATTCAAAAAAGATAAACACATGCAATTTGCAGCAACATGGATGGCGCTGGAAGGGATCATGCTCAGCGAAATAAGCCAAAAAGAAAAAGAAAAATACCGGATGGTCCTCACTCATAGCAGGAATCTAGAAAACTTAAATAAGGGACCAGGAAAATGAATAAATATAAGAAAGTGAAAATCAAAATCAACAAAAAACTATGAACCAGAGACACTTTGGGGGGGCGGGGGCGGGAGGGGAGGGATTGGGGTCAGAATGGGGGGGGCTGCAATTGTATGGGGAATATAAAAATAAAATTTATTATTTAAAAAAAAAAAAGATTTATTTATTCATGCATACAAGAACCCAGGTACAGGCCAGATGCATGGGAGAGTGAGAGGATTCACCAGAGACAGAGCGGGGAACAGAACAGGCAGAATGACTGAAATACACTCCTGAGGGGAGCAGAGGGGCTAGTCAGGAGAGGTCTGCCGCGCCATGCGGGATTCTTGCCAGCCAACAGGAATTGAACTAGCACTGCAGAGGCTGTGGACAGCTTCATAGTGCTGCGCTCAACCACCTATGCCACCAGGGGAGGCGCACACTTTTCTTTTTTTTTTCTTTTCTTTTTTTTTTTTTTAATACAAGCACTGGGTATAGTCAGAAGCACAGGGGGTTAGAGAATTCACCAGAGCCAGAGTGGGGAACAGAACAGGCAGACTGAAGAAATACACTGCTGAGGGGAGCAGCGGGCGTGGCAGGAGAGGTCTGTCGCGCCATGTGGGACCCTCGGTGGCCAGCCAGGATCAAACCGGCGCTGCAGAGGCTGCAGGCAGCTTCACAGCGCGGCAATCAACCACTGCGCCACCAGGGGAGGCCCATACTTTTCATTTTCTAACTCTCTACAGTTTGAAATTTCTTGTACCATTTATATATGTAGTATATTTGCGTCATAGTCATCCAGCTTAATAGTAGCTTATCTTTGTGAAGAAAACAGGAAGAGAAAACTTACTTTTATATATCACTGATGCCTTCTGGCTGAGTGTCAGGGAAGCTGTCTTTTTAATTAATACATTATTTAATTATAAATATTTTTCTTTTACAGATACCCAGGTGTTCTTTCTGATGTCCAGGAAGAGAAAGGCATTAAGTACAAATTTGAAGTTTATGAAAAGAATGATTAATGTGAAGGCATCTTCTGATTTTTTTCAAGCTTCCCCCCTCCAAAAATTATGTATTTTAATATTTTTTGAAAATATGTTGACTTTATATCTGTGTGTAATTATTTCCAAGCATTGTGTGTTTACTCCCCATTAATCTTAACAAGACTATATCAGATACCACTTATGAAACATTTCTTGCTATAAGTGTCTAGATGCCTATGAAGGGGACAGGACTGGACTGCATATCTACCAAGGCAGCCCCAAATGGGAGAGTCAGTCCACAGATAACATGAACTGAAACCAGGGTCCAGAGAGATAGAAGCTAGATAGCTGAGAAGTCAGAGATGGATTATAAACAGAAGAGCTAGCACTCAGGTATTAAAAGAAAATTAGATCAAAACAGGGACTCTGAATTACCCTGTGCCTGTGACACTTCTGAAAAAAATTATGCTCAGAATCACTAAGTTGAGAACTCCAATATATTCAGTAGGGATAGTAAAGAAGCGTGGTAAAAGTAGACTACGTTTTTGATGGTTAAAACAGTAGGTGTGAGACCTTTAAAAACTTTCTGATCTTTAATGAGATTCCATATGCTACTACAATGGTAGAAGAATCAGTTACTCATTTTAAAAAAAAAGAGTAATGATAAGTGTAATGGCTAAAATTAAAAATTCAAAGAAATAATGAGAATAGATGTTGTTAGAAACCAAAGTGAGAAACTAAAACATGTTTACCCATCATGTTAGCAAAATTTTAGATTATTAGGTACCTAAGCCCTGTAGATTGGTATAGTCTATTGTAAATGAACAATATCAATTAAAATTAAATATATTCAAGGACCCAATCTGCCATCACCACAATCTTGAACTTCCCAGGCTGGAGAACTATGAGAAATAAGTCTTTGTTGTTAATGAGCCACCTAGTTTTTGATGCTGTATTATAACAACCCAAGTGGACTAAGATACCACTAAGTCTGATAACTATCTGGGGATAGTAAGAGGAAAAGCGAGGATTGTGGTGTAAGACCTAAATCCTCATTTATCATACCAGGAAATGACTAGATAATGTGTAAAGTAACAAATGATGAAATAACTATTTGAGGGGGGGAAAAACTGCTCTAAGAGTTCAGTCATTGCTCTGGAGAACTGGAGAGGAAAGACAGGAGACCGCTAGAATTTTGTAAGCTTTAAAGGGCTAAAAAAAATACATGGCATATGCATTCATTTGAAAAACTAAAGGAAAAGTTAATTGAGGTGTGGGTGGGGAAACCATGCAGATAACTACCAGATGGAAAAGCTAAAAGAATGGAAAACTCTTTTTCTTTCTGGCTTATTTCGCTGAGCATGATCCCTTCCAGCGCCATCCATGTTGCTGCAAATTGCATGTGTTTATCTTTTTTGAATGCTGAGTAATATTCCATGGTGTATATGTACCACATCTTCTTGATCCAGTCATCTATTTTTGGGCATTTGGGCTGTTTCCAAAGCTTAGCTATTGTAAACAGTGCTGCTATAAACATAGGGGTGCAGGTGCTCTTTGGAATTGATGTTTCTGTGTCCTTTGGGTAAATACCTAGGAGTGGAATTGCTGGATCATATGGAAGCTCTATGTTTAGTAGGTCAAGAAATCTCCACACAGCTCTCCATAGTGGTTGGACCAGTTTGCATTCCCACCAACAGTGCAGGAATCTAGAAAACTTTAAATAAGGGACCAGGAAAATGAATAACTATAAGAAAGTGAAAATCAAAATCAACAAACAACTATGAACCAGAGACACTCTGTGGGAGGTGGGGGGTGGGGAGGGGAGGGATTGGGGTCAAAATAAGGGGGTTGCAATTGTATGGGGAATATAAAAATAAAATTTATTTAAAAAAAAAAAGAATGGAAAACTCTTGCTTCCAAAAAGGACAATCGAGGTTAGGGAGAGAGAGCAGGGAACTATTTCTCTGTTCAACTTTAGAAGCCATTTTTTTTATCATTTTTGTGTATTTCTTTAATAAAACAATTATTTCTTAATAAGTTGCATTAGTTCATAAGTGTTTTTAAACACCTCACATAAAATTTCAAAGACATATGGCAACTGATCTCCATAGTCAGCTTAAGACCTAGAAAGACAACTCTTTAATTAGCCCAAAGTCACACACAATTTTAAAGATCAGTTGTGAGGAAAGCATCAGACTTGACGGTGCCTGATTTGTTGATCTTTCAAGACGGACATGAGTCTCACTTTTTCCAGTTTGACTTATGAAAGGTAAGAATTTGTGGCAAAAATGTAAATGGAATAATAAATCATGCATATATGTTCTAAATATTCTTGTTCTAAATATTTCTGTGAGATTAAAATTAAGTAACAGGGCCTCCCCTGGCGGCGCAGCAGTTGAGCGCTGGGCTGCGAGGCTGCCCACAGCCTCTGCAGCGCCAGTTCGTTCCCCGGCCACCGGCAAGGGTCCCACAAAAAAAAAAAAAAATTAAAAAATAAATAAAATTAAGTAACACACTCACATCTTAATAGGCAGTGTTTTCTCAAAAAGTTGTCCTCAATAAACCTGTATCAGGATGGGTCCTAGAGTCTACATTTTAAACCAGCACCTGAAATGATTCTGAAGTCTACTCAAGTTTGTAAATCACTAAATTAGAGTGAGTTTGAACTCTAAGAAAGAAAACAAAATTGAAAATTGAAATATTGCCTCTCTCTAGGCCATCTAAGTGAAGAAAACCAGAAAATCCAGCAAATTATAATAGATGAATCAATATGCAGGAGATGAGAAAAGGTAATAGTGTATAGATTTAACATGTTGCTGATTTATTTTAAGAACTAAGGATTTTCATTTCTTAAATATGTAACAAAAACAAGTATTTATTATCGCAGAGATACATAATAAGCAAGCTGTAATAGAGGTCCTATAACTAGATTTTAAAAATAGTTCATAACTAAAAACTATAAAGCAAATGACCTAATTAAGCAACATGACTTCATGAGGGATAGGTTGGTTGCCAGCTGCTGAAAAGGTTCAGAAAAATAATTATCTTTGAAAGAATTTGTGATCAAAAATGTTCCAGCTGAAAGTAAAAAAGGAAATACATGGTTAAATGAATACTGGAAATAGAATTAGAGACACTTCAATGAACAGCTATTGCTTGTCAAAGGGTCCCTGGCCAAATAGGAAGGAAACCCTACAACCTACATGAAATTGTGGTCCTCCTGTGACAAAGATGAAATTACATTAGCGACCATTCTAATTATCTGCTCCTGCCCTATCTGTTTCCCAGCAAGCCTCATGTAGACCAGGAAGTTTATCTGACACACATTGGCATTTCTGTTGAATCTTTTCATTCTTGGAAGAAAAAAAGGAACAGATCATTGTTATGTGGTATTTCAGTTAACTTTACAGTTAATAACCAAAATCAATGTGACACACACACACATATATAATGGAAGACAAATTTTAGGGTGACTTCTATATACTTCTTTAGCCCACGGCCGTAGGACACACACAAAACAACCCTTGGAAGCATAAAGGGTGTTCATCTGCAAGGAGAAGACTGATGATGCTAGGACATGGGGAAAATTGGAGAGAGAACAGGTTTTCCACTGCACCTTCCTGACAAAATCATTTTGGAAAGGGACTCTGAATGAGACTGACTGAACCTTTTTCAGTCCCAGGTCAGAGTACCCTTGAAAGCACCTATTGGTTTCTCATTGCCAGTTCTCTTTAGTAGATGAATTAGCAAACCTCAAATTCCACCCCACCCTCCAGCATTTTATTATGTACCATTTCAAGAGCAGAGCAAAGTTGAAAGAATTACATATTTAACACCCATTTACCCATTCCATAGGTTCTATCAGTTAATACTTTGCTATCCCTTTTATCACATATTTAGCCAGCCTTTCATCTATCCATCTTATATTTCAACACATTTCCAAGTTGGTTGTAGGTATCATTATGCTTCATCCCTAGATTCCTCAGCCTGCATACCATTACAGTTCAATTTGTTTGCTTTTGGGATTTTTTGTTTGTTTTGGTAAAATTTACACACTGAAGTATAGGCTTTAAGTGTAGCATTCTACAGGTTTTGACCAAAACATACGCCTGTGTCATCCAAATGTCTGTCAGTCACCCCAGAAGATTCTCTCATTACTCCTTCCTAGTTAATTCCTAACTCCCAAAAGCAACTGCTATTCTGGATTTTTGTCTGGTGGTAGATTAGTTTTGTCTGTTCCTGTTTATATGAATGGAATCATACAGGACATACTCCTATGGCCCAGCTTATTTTACTCAGCATAATTTATTTGCATTTCAGACATGCAATTGCATGTATCATTGTTTTATCCTTTTTCATTTTTGATTAGTATTCTATTATATGGTTGTACCACAGTTTATCCTTTCTAATCTTGATGGACATATGGTCTCTTAAGGGATTGAGCCTGGTCTTAAAGGATCTAAAGAATTAGTGAATGGGAGTCAGGAGATGGCAGATCTATGCTACAGAAGAGGGAAAGTCATGGGAAAACCTCATCGCCTGATTCCAAAATCAAGGACAAGGCTTTCCAAGGAAGGAGAGATGTTATCAGGCCATGCCCTTTCTACCTTGGCTGTGCCTCTCAATCCGTTCTCTTTTTCACCACATCTACTTTAAGTCTTTGTATTCCTTCACTTGGACTATATTGTAGTGACTTATACCGGTGGTTTTTCAATCTTTGATCTCCTCCCCAACAATCCATCATAATGATGGCCACCAAGACAAACTTTCTGAATTGCACTTTTGATTATGTCACTGTCTCGCCTCCTTAATGCTCACTGAGGCCAAAGACAAATTACACCTTGGTCTTTAGGGTGCTCCACAAATGATATCTCTAGACTTAACACCAACCACTTCTCCTTCCTACACAAGCCACCTTCAGCTCCTCACAAATATTATACACAAGCCACCTTTAGCTCCTCACAAATCCCCAAATAGATTCCATCTTTGCCACACATTCCCTTCCTTATGCAGTTCTCTCTGCCCATAATGTCACAATCCCTCTATCCTCCAGTCTGAACTTACCTCAAAGCTGTGCCCACATCTCAAATGTTACCTTTTTCATGAAACCTTTCTTCTTACCCTCCTCTGAACCACCCAGTAAGATCTATCTGTTACTGTCCTTAAGTGAGGTTTGCTTTACAGCTGTTTGTTCTTCTCATCTTCCCATACTTTTCCAGTTAGGAATATTTTCACTTGCAGAAAATTTAATTGACAGTGGCCTAAACATACTGAGATTTTCTGATTCTTATTCTCTTAGATTTCCCCCAAGATTGCAAGATGATTACTACTGCTTTAGAAGCCAAGTCCATGCTCATAGCAGGAAAAAGAGACAAAGGGAGCAGTGTCAGGCACATGTTTTCCTTTCATCAGAAAAGCAAAACTTGTCCCCATCTCCTAGAATTAGAACGTAATCACTGGCTTAAAACCAGTCTTGATCTATCAAGTCTGTCATATTGTCCCCACCGCATCAAAATCAGAGGTCTCTTGGCAAGGAAGAAAGAAGGGTGGTTATATGACTACAATTAATGGTATTTACTACATCTACTCTGCCAGACAGCCGTCTGTTTCAAGGCAGAAACTATATGTTATTCACTTTTGTCTCCCCTCAAGATGTGTAGCATCTCAAAAATGTTGATAGATAGATAGATAGATAGATAGATAGATAGATAGATAGATAGATAGATAGATAGACAGATAGATAGATAGACAGACAGATGGATGGATTGATAGACAGACAGACAGACAGACAGACAGAAAGATAGATGATAGACAGATAGACATGAGATACTGTTGAGTAGAACACCACATACTCTTTGCCAATTCCTGGGGAGGCTAGGTCAACACAATGCCAGCTACCAGCAATAGAAGTCCAAACACTTCTGCCCACTGCATCTTGATCTCTGTGTCATCAAGGAAAATGGCACAGTCAAGCACTGGACAATGAATGATGCTTTACTCACAGAAAGAGCAAGAACAGCTCCAACAGTATGAATCAGTACCCCATGAGTAATGGGTTCCTGCAGCAGCTGAAGCAAGGTAACTGGCCATCCCCTGTGCCACAGTAGAAAGACGTCTACCTCCCCCTGAGGGAGTCTGAAATACCAAAAGTGAGGGTGGCCTGAGGTCATTGATGTACACACTCAAGCCAAAGTGTATATATTGAGCCTGAAACAGGGAAAGATTCCTACACAAGGAGATAAGCCCTGCACAGGCTAGGTGGGTAAGAAAGTGTTCCAGGCCCAAGACTTATTTTAATGTGCTTGAGTGTGGATCAAAATATATGCCTTACAACTGCTTGGATTGAAAGGGACATATGAGACTGCCTTTGCCAACACTGAGATAGCGGCATAGATG